TATTTCCAAATGATCCATATAATATAATAATTTATTCCTTTCTGACTCTCAATATTGGTTGATAACAAGACGAGCTTGTTTACGATTAGCTCTCAAGGCAATGATGCACACCTAAAATTGCTTTGAAACTGTTCAGAAGCAATTCTGATATGTAGAATATACTGGTCCAAAAAAACTAATATAAATTGCTCACCTATTCATCTGATGCAAGCCAGTAATTGAAGCATGATAGGGCACAGTACGGATTTTTCAAGACTATATATCATCCCTGCTGACCAGTGCAATTTAGAAAACCTGTAAAATAGGCTTGGTTCCAACTTTTTGCGGAGCTGCCCAGAACACTTAACGTCCCTGCTTGTACCGAAATGGAAAGACCCAGCTAAAATAAGTGGGGATTTGTGGTTTATTGATAATTAAGGCTCTCAGCATTGTCGAGGCCAATTAAATGCGGAAAAATAAATCCGATATTGAAATTGCAAAAGGATTTGAGGGTACACAGTACATTCCACATAATGTCCCTGCAAGCCGAGTCAGGTTTGAAAAGCTAGGTCAAAGCATACTCCTTATTTTCTCAATGAATTGTACCATTTATACAACCTGACCGGAAGTTATGATGCACAAATGTAGAAAAAAATATTGAAGCCTTAAACGAATCCAGATAGTTAATATAATATTCAGTTAAATAATTCTGTTTGTCTGTCAACTTAGTAGGATAAACATTGGATTAGTAAAAACAAAAACTACTTGAGTTAGGTCTTTCAATAAGTGTTTTATAAAAGAACGTTTGCAGTGGCGATAGGTAATCGCAAATGTAGACAATAGCTCATTTCTCTATAAACATTTCAAAAAAAATATACAAAAACCAAATTTCAATTGGCATACATAGCAGATTCTCGTTTCTATTTATCTATTCTTCCAAGACACCTCAAAAGTTAATAATAAAAGCAGATAAAATATTCGTATTTCCCTCTGATGAACGGAATCTTAAATAATTCAATCCAATTTTCAATCATATTTTTACTTACGAAGAGAGTTTAGACACTAGGCCCTATCCAAGTATTTCTCCTGTTCCGAAAAGGAGACGGGTTTTAAGATTAACGAATGCCTTACAAGTCTTAAGAATCTTCAGGATTCATGATTTTTATATCTCATAAAGGCGATGAACAAAGCATTCAACCCAAGGAGATTGTGTGCAAAATAAATCGCATATAGAAAATAACAAGGACAAAAAACATCATCCTAGAAACGTCTTGATAACAATAGGACTTTAAGTTGGTAATGTTAACCACTTTATAATAAAAATAAGGTTTTTAAATGCAAAGGGAATTATTGCCGCATTTAAGATCAATCTAAGCAAAGAATTTTTCAATGACATTGTAGGTGAATGGTAATGAAACGAGTAGACAAATTGGATAACACATCGGCTTTAGCATGCAAGCAGTAATGAAAGGCAAATGAACTAATAAGTCATTGATTAAATTAATCGTGGAAAAATTAGTTATAAGTGTCAATCTACTTTGATGCGCCAATGTAACCCTTTGTTAGTCTTGACCTATATCCATAGTAGTTTTGAAACTATTACCAACTTATATATTGTGTATTTTTTTATATTTTGTTTTATTTTTCACAAAAAAATAATTTCTAAATTCAAAGTTAAGTCTATTCTGAAATTGGTTCGTCAAATACAATGCATAACCTTTCTCTCGGTAAACTTTACTTAGTAAAATTCACCCTTGACCGATGTACTCCCATATAGATTGGAACACCAGTCTGTTGTTTCTAAGAGTAGACTCGTACAATTATGGTGGGACCATTCACCAAATTATACAGATATTCTCAGATGATGCAAGCACTTATTCAATCGACTCTTCGTATGAGCATATTTATGGATTCCATCAAAAAATAACTAAATCGTAGATAAAGTGATGAAGGAGAGGTAGTAGTAGAGCTGACGTTTCCATTACATTTCACATAGTCTTGCTTTCCCAAAAGTTGTTCTCATCCGGGAAGCAACCCTAACTCCAACCAAAAAAATGTGATATAGGAAAAGGTCTGGCCTTTCTTAAAATTCACATCTGCCCCATGACCCAAGGACACTCGTGGCAATGTGGCCGAGTGGTTACCGCTTCAAGCTCACATACTGGACTGTCACGGTTCGACTCCCGCTGGGAGTGTTGATAAGACCCATGCGAGGTCGAAACTGCAGTCCACTCCAGCCGGGATAAGAACAACATAATGGAAGGCAAGGCTCTGTGAAATGTATTGGCAACATCAGTTCTACTCAAATCATTATGGGAAAATTCTACTACCAGTCCTTCATCATCTTAAACGAAATAGGATGAATACATCTCATACAATTGATTTACTGGTAGTCTCGAAACTCTACTTATATGGGAAAAATAAATCGTAGATTCAGTGAAGACATCAAAAAGAAGACGTTTCGACCCAGCAAAACTGTTCAACAACAGAAAGAGAAATCCCCAAGGAGCTGGTTATGAAGTGAGAGGAATCAATCCAGGAATTGGTCAAACAATTCACCCAGTGGGTTGTTTCTGTGAGACGTAGTATATGAAATTAAAGGCAAAAGGTATAAATGGACCAGATACATGTCATCAGTGTGTAGGAGGTGTTTGTGTGTCTGAAGAGGTGGTTGCTTGACCACGGGGGCTACCAGCCGGCAAACACACGAACATTGTAGTAACCTAGGATTAGATGGGAATGGGACGAGAGGAGTGTGTTTTCGCGATTCAATGAAAAAAGGGAAGTGGTGCATTTTCAAACCAGCGGTTATGATTTAAGCCGAACACAGGACCTCAAAGAAAGAGACACAATGTGGCTGGGTATGAGAAAGAGGATACCCGAGTCATGGGTGTGAAGTGTATGAAGAGGAAGATTCGTAAGCAACGGCATAGACACCATTTTCTGGAAATCATGAATACCATGTGAGAGGACACGGGGCTAGGCACGTTCCACACTGTCTCCCCGACGCTCCGGCCAAGTTGCAAAAACAAAGTCGAACCAGCAAAATAACTAAAATTCCCATCTAAACCTACTAATGTGAGTAGAAAATAACGAGACCTACAATTACCTGAGGGGTCATGGAAGAGGCAGAAATCTTTCTCAGCAAATTGCTCGCGGACCCAATGGAGCCAGCCGAGTGTTTTGCCAAAACTTGACTCGATTGTTGTGCCTGGTGTTGCGAACGCTGATGTTGGGCTGGTTGTTGTTGTTGTTGTTGTTGAGTCTGGAGGGCTGCACGAGGTTGTTGCTCGCTCTGGTTTGATGAGTTCAAAGTGGTACTGGGTGCATTTTGGCTGTCATGTTGAGCACCAGTAAAAATGCGCCAGCTGCCAAAGCCGCTGGTGTTGGTACTTCCTGCGGTGCTAACACCACCACCACTGCCACTACCGCTGGCAGATTGTCGACTGTTGCTGTTGTAGAAGCGCAAGCTCCCTTGCCCTCCCAAAGCATACGGTTGAATAGTTTGATCTGATTGTTGTTGATGCATCCGTACGCCAGAACGAGCAGATAAGAGCTCGGACTGCAGACGCCGAGCTTCATTAGCCAATCTGGTGCGCTCACGTTCGCTAGAATCCAATCGGGCATGTAGCTGAAGAAGGTTGAAAAAAGAGAGAGTAGATTAAAAAGTAATAGATGAGCTTGCATATGATCCAAATCATTAGAAGTTTGTTTATTTAAAAAATTTATCCTAAAAATTGGCTTTTAAAAAAAAGAATTTTTCGTCAAATTTAGAATATAAAAACACGATTGTCAAAGAAAATGATAATCCATAAGCATTAAGAGTTAAAATAATGAGATACGAAGAGCAAGATATGTGGTTTCTATTTTGTTCGCATTTCCCTTTCAATGTATAGGTCTGGTCTGACCTCGCTTTCGCTTAATTGGACGCAATTTGTCTGAAGTCCTCTTCATACACTTTCATACGAAATCAAGGTCCCCTTAACAATCTAATTTAGTAGTTATGGTAAATCCCAGTGTTGGACCGTAAACTTGATACATTCACAGACATTTCACCGGCACCGTAGACAGCATCGTCAGTTGTAGCTTGGTGCTGAGTATGACGAGACTCACTTACGACGCCGGCGAAACGTCTAGGAGTGTACCAAGTCCACGGTACAATGCTGATAATTATTGTAACTACTTTATTAGAAGACTTCGTAAGATGTTCACCCTTACAACACGACCAAATTGTGAAAACGAGGTCTGACCACTTTTAATTTGGTGTATCAAGGCTTTCCGGCAAAAATCCTCTTTTTTGCTCATCCTGTACTTACAAAAAAATAATATGTAACGGGAACATTTGCACCAATGTCTGGTCTGGCATGTATGTAGCAAGCCATCAAAGAATGGTATGACAAACTTGAGAAGACCAATAAAACCTTCCAGTTGCTAAGGTAGAAAAATTGAAAACAACTGACCTCTTTAATTTCGGCCCGATGCTTGGTTTGTACACGCTCCATCTCCTCCATTAGGCGTTTGTACTTCCTATCCAGCTGACGGAGTTGCTGTTGTTGATGGCTACTGCTTGCCTTACGACTGGAGCCGGTGAGATTTCCAGATCCTCCTGTAATACAGCGACTGCCCGCTTGCAACATCAACATCTGCTTTAAGGTTTCTGGATTCTCGCCATAAAGCATCTAAGAGGGAATATATGTGGAATATTGAAAGGCATTTTAGTAGAGAATGAGTAGATGCTCATGTCAATGGGTATATCTGCATGCAATAATCGGAACATAAGATATAGATTTAAAAATAAAGTCAGAAAGAGGTTATGGGCGAATTTGTTAGTGACGATTATAGCGATAGAAATACAATATTCCTGATAGTTAATAGTATAATGGGAGTTATGCTGAGTAATCGCTAGGCATACTTACCAGGTATAGCAGGTAGATAATGATAATTGTGATGATCACGCGTTAACAAAAGACAAACAGTTAGGAGTGCAAAAACTGCAAAATATTTAACGTAGAGACATGATAATTGATATCAGAGTGGGAATAGAGGTAGAGATAAATACAGAAGGCAAGAGAATTATGCAAAAAGAAGGAAAGTTTATGGTGGTAATAATTAGAGTAACGACGAAAATGGAAAAAGTATTTTACATTTCCAAACCGTAATAAAATATTCTACTTGCATGTAATTAGTGAAAGAATGTATGAAAGTAAAGAAAGGGCCATTTTTCATCCTATTTAAGAAAAAACGTGTTTAGATTGAATTCAGGTGAGAAGTAAGAAGAAATCTTGAATTAAGGCTTGAGATTTAGATTTTATGGACTATTTGGAAGAAGCCTTAACTATGCTGGTATAAATGCTGTAAATAAAAAAAGTGAAAACTTAATCCGATAAGTAAAAAAACTGATTCTAGCCTCCTTTAATTGGTTTAGAAAATTCTGATAATCAGGGTTTCTCGCCATAATGATATTCGTAATATGATAGCTAAGGTCGCAGGACAGTCGGCCAAGGAATAATGAAGAGAAGCTGGGTTTCGAAGGATCCCATAATAGAAGTCTACTTGCGTAACTCTCATTTCGTTTAAGAAGGTGGGTCGAAGGGATTCGTAGATTGACAGTACCGAATACCGCAGGAGGGTTGACTTGTCTCCTACGACCCCATGACTCCGTGCTAAACTTTCGTCCGTCAATTGACGGACATCGTGAGAGCCAGAAGATATTATTCACGAAAAAATCACCCAAAATAACTGCAAACCAAGTAAGATGGCCAGCTGAGATCCGACTTATTTCTTATACCTCACTTTGCGATCTTAATGAGGAATTTCATGAAATGGGTTGCCTGACATATGCCACTTGCGCTTTCTTAATCCATAAACCGTTGCAAGATGTTCTGTGTTCTGATAGCCTCTTGTATCGACAAGTCTTTCCTACATGATCACTACCACATGAGCACAACACCTTATAACAACCTGATCCGCCGAGGGAGTCGGAGGATTCTCTAAAAGAAGGCATGATCAAGAAAGAGTTATTGTATCTTTATACATTGTTTTGACACTAACCTTCCCCCAATGAGGAGCATGATCATCCGAAGCCTAAGCCTAGCGGCTGTAGAATTTTGAGACGAGGAGCTAAACAAATTTACGAGGATATTCCTCGGCAATGGCTACCCAATCGAAGTGATAGAAGGAAACATACGGGGTGTGAAAAGCCGATGGCAGAACTGGGACTATGAAAGAAGAGTAATACGATGAAGGACTCACCAAAGTGAATATGCCTACCTTCCTGCGAACTAACTCAGAAAGTAAGGACAATATTGAGTAAATGGTGGCTATGAAAGATAAATCAACACTTTTCCCAAGTCTAACGACACAACATGAAATGGGAGATGAATTGAATTGTTCAGGAGTTTACTGCATGTCATACAGCGCGGGCGAACAGAAATCTATTGGCGAAACAGAGAGAAAAATGAGCACATAATCAAGGAAAATGGATACCGAAAGATCAGAACTAGCGGAACGCATCGAACAGACTGGACACTAAATCAATTGTAAAGCAACAGAAAGAAGAGCCCCATACGATGACAACACAAGGAAGCAGAAGATTATGGAGGCCATTGACATCCTTTGGGAGAAAAATCTAAGGAACAGGAGATCGGAGGAAGGTAGAGTTAGCGATAACTTTGCCTACTGCCTAAGCAAGACTAGCAAAAAGGAGACGCCTGGATCAAGGATCTACTGCTAACCAGAGGAAAATGGATGGGCAATCAAGCGAAGACGTTGTCAGTACAACTTTGGAGGCCCAGCAATCAGGAAGCTGGGCAGACGGATGAGCAAACCGTCATGGAAATTCGGCGTTATGGCCAAGATTCACTAGAAATCCACTTGAGATGCCGCATACGACCAGAGATAGGCGTTGACAGTTTGCTCAGATAACATGGGTTTAATCAAGAAGAGGATCCGTGAATAGAAGGTCTGATATCTGCAAGCATGGCAATCAGAGCTTAGGCGTTCTGCTCAGTGAAGCCGCAGTGTACGTGTTTCTAGGGCCTTGGGAAATAACGCCTCGAGTGAAATTGGTCAACCAGAAAACGGAGGAACAGATCTACGGGACCATGAGGGGATGCTGATTGTAGGCCTGTGTGGAATTATCCGATCGAGAGAGATGAATGAATAGAGGGCGTGATGAGACAACACTCGATTTGCTACAAAATGGCCACACATTTTGACGAGTGGAATGTAAACAAGTGAGAAATTGTGATAGGGCGGCAGTGGGATAAGAGGGTAAAGAGTAGACAGAAAGAGGAGTGATTGTGTAACCGTTTTCGAGGGATTGACTCCACTTGCATCTTTGACGAGTTCGTAGCTTGGTGCGGAGAATGACAAAACTCACTCATGATGCCGGCGAAACGTTTGAGAAAGTACCTAGTCCACTGTCTGATGCTGGGAATCATGAAAACTACTATGGCAGACGACTTCGGACTAGGTGCGTCCTACTAAGTCACCCTGACAACAAGACCAAGTTGCGAAAACGAAGTCAATCCACTTCTAAGCATTGCTAAAGTTATTTTTTTATTATTTGAAGATTTTTACCCTTAAAGGTCAATGCTGCCATAAGCATAAGTATCTAATTGTATTTAAATATATTCCTTAAGATGATATGTAATCGCAGAATCTAAAGAGTATTGTAATTCTTTAGTATCGGACACGATTTTGGGTGCATAGCTCAGTTCATGTGCAAAAAGCTACATTTCTAACGATCGTCTTACCTAAGGAAGTATAGCACCACAAACACAAAAAATGATTATTAGAAATAAGTTTAGATTGACAGGTAAACAAAAAAGTTAACAGGTGAAAATAATTAATATAGGTGATAGTCAAGCTGGAAATTGATGCAAAAAAATAATTCTATTCTCATCAACACAGTTAGGGTGTGATTGGATAAAATCTGTAATATGTGTAAATTTAAAGATCTGTCGTAGGATCTAGAATTTTTTGGTGCCACTGACTCAGCTATTAGGCAACAGTTAATTCTCAAAGCTTCCTACAAGTCGGAATAATATAATCCTATCTTAGGCCCGCAAGTAAGCCTCAAGTGTTCTGAAGTTGAATTTATATGCTAAACTAGGAAGAAATATTGAAAGCAACTTGTTTAAACATAAATACACTCAGAATATGGAATAATTTGATACAATAAACCTAAATAGCGGGCAATAAGAACTCGATTAAGCAGCAAAGGGAGAAGAGAACAATAGAATTTAGTGCAAAGTGACTTGAACACAGACTGAATACTATTAAATAATAAAAACAACAAGAAAAAAATTTTAAAAGTTGCATAAGTA